ACATTAGTCTTCCTACGGACATTTTTGGGTATACAGGCAACAATTTATCTTATCCTTGTGAACCACATGTTGTTTCGTACTAATTAATTGATGCTCTAAAACTTTCTAATTGAAAAGTTTGCTCTATTTGCACTGCCTATCTTCCAAATTTCACCACTAGGGGTGCTGCTGTCATTTGCATTAGGTCAGGCGTAGTTGCTTTACTATACCGTTACCTCACTTGCATAGCTGTAGCTCTCTCTGTTTGCAAGAATTTTCCAGTTAAAGGGACTTTCCTACGCACCCTGTATATACACTGAGTGACCAAAAAATTAGACACACCCTCTAATAACGAGTTGGTCCACCTGTAGCTCTGATCACAGCTGATATTCTTCTAGGTATTGACTCAACAAGTTGCTGATACCATTGCTGAGGAATGTTGGCCCATGAAAACATAATGGCAGCTCTAAGTTGGATGGTGGTGTTTCCAAGCTTTAAAGTGAACTTTCCACTTTGTCCCACAAATGCTCCATGGGATTGAGGTCAGGGGAATGAGCTGGCCATGGAAGCAGGTTAAACTATGATTGATGTTCTTCAAACCAATTTGAGACCAATTGAGCACAGTGACAAGGCACATTGTCCCACTGAAAGTGACCGTCTTTATAAGGGAACATTACAGCCATAAATGAGTGTATGTGATTGGTAATGATGTTGAGGTAAGCTGATCTATTCAGAGATGTGTCCACAAATATCAAGTGACCCAGTGTACACCAGGAAAACATTCCCCTTACCATAATTCCACCACCGCCAGCCTGAAGAGCTGTCATTTGGTAGGAGGGGTCCATGAATTCGTGCTGTTTGCACGATATTCTGATCCTGCCATCTGCATGATGGAGCAGGAAACAAGATTCATTGGACCAGGCTACTTTTTTCAAGTCCTTTAAATGACCAATTTCATCATTCCTAGGCCTACTACAGGTGCTTTTTCCTATTTTTCTGTGATACCAATAGGCACTCTTGATGGTCTCCTGCTGCTAAAGCCTATCCTTTGCAAAGTGTGTTTTGTTGTGTGTTGGGATATGCTTTGTGATGCACCTGCATTGCCCTTCTGTTGCTGCAGACTATGCAGCAACAGAAGGGCAACAACATGACAGATTACAGCTGAATTCAGAACAGAAGGCAATTAGCATGCAGACTATGCATGCTAATTTCCTTTCACCAGCCTTTTTCAACCAGAATTGTCCTTATCACTTGAAGTTTTTTTTCTCAACTGCCACTCTCTAAACACCTGAGATACTGTGGGGCGAGAAAATCCTAAATGAGTTGTCATTTCAGAGATGCTGACACCAATGCTCTTCTTGCCATGATGATCATCCCTCGTTCAAAGTCACTTAAATCTTTTGTCTTACCCATTTGATGTTAACTTCCATGATAACAACGTCATCTGAAGCTGAGCATACCTTATATAAGAAACTCTGCATTGTTACATCACTCTCAGACTGATTTACTTTCAAATAAGGGGTGTCTCTAATTTTTTGGCCACTCGGTGTATATACATACAAAATATCAAATTATTACAGCAAGTATGGAAAAAGTATATTTATTTATATTAATTTTATTTTTAAAATTGTCAAAAATATATCCTATAGGTCGGTTTCATCAATAGTGATATTCAGTGGCGTGCCGTGACATAGATGATAGGGAAGCTATGTTTCTGTAAGAAGCCAACTTCCAGGGGTGATCAGTTAATTCTTTAAATGTATTTTTAATAGATTATTTATCTGACATAATTAATAAATAGTTATTAATAAAGTTCAATATAATTACCTCTGTTATTAGATTCAATAGATACCCTATGCCCTCTAAATGCCAATTCTTGCTTTGATAAAAACATATAACATCTATTAATTGAAATATATCTATTAGCTATAACTATCTCGTTATAATTTTCAATATTTATTTTAGTAAATAATATGTTAAATTCTATTCTGCTTTGATTTCCAAATTGCTTCAAATACGAAAGAATTGATGATTTTTCATGTCTTTTGCCAGCTAAATTGTCAAAGCCATTCTTATTCCACACACTAAATTCATTTGAAAATAGTAGGCAAACCAACAAAACAATTTCTGCATTTTTGCATTTACAGAGCCATTTTATTGTGAAAATGTTGAACAAATTTTTTTTGAAGTGTTTATATTTAACTTAGGCATTGGCCTTTCTCTTTTTCATTATATGATCTTGAGCCAAAACTTTTTAAAAATAAATTTTCAATATCGCTAGTCACGATATAATGGCTACAATTAGAAATAAAATTATAAAAACTTACTTGGTGAAATAAAATGTGTGGTGGATATTCATACCTTGTACAAAATATTCTTCAATTGTATGAATATACTTTTAAAGAAAATTATAATTAAATACAGCTTTGTAAAGAAATGTACATAAAATTAACATAAAATCTTCTTTACTCTTTAAATCTTAACCACTTAGTCAAATAGCTCCCTACGAGTGGAATCAGAGACGGTGCGTGCATGCACCCGGGCTGCCAAATCCCAAGGGTGCTGATACCGGTTAATGTCAAATGCCTCTTTTGTCACATCACTCATATATCTCAAAGGATGCGACAGGGTTGTTGTAAATTTTAAACATTTCTCACCATAGCTGTAAAAATCTAAATATGTTAAACTTAACAGTCATTTGTTTTCTAATTCATTTTAGGACCAAGTGTCCATGGAAATTTCCAAAATTTACAACTTTTTGGTCACTCTTGTTGAACTGGAAAAATTTCTGTTTACATTACGTCTAATATTACAAAGAAATCAGTCCCCATTGTACTCAGCTAGAGATTGGGTTGGTTAAGCTTTTAAGTAATATTCCGGATCTTTCAGCAGGGTTTTATTTATGTCCTCAATTCCCTAATTGCTTAATTATTTAACTACAGTACTTCTTACGTAGAAATAAATCGAAACCGGTTACTTTGTACTCAAATATTTGTAGTCTCGGGAAAAAAGTGGAAAGACAAATTTTTATGACAAACGGATACATAAATTATAAATTTAAGGAAAATAAATTCTAGAGCTTTTTCTGTACCTGGTGCATCTCTCTCATTCATTAAATTTAGTTGTAAATGATGCTGTCAAAGTAACAGTTAATTTTTTAACATTATACAAGAATTGTACATGTTTTTTTTCTACATCCCTTTAAAGATGGGATATACGAAATTGTAATATTACCGGTTTAACATTGAAATCCGTGAGTAATATAAAATCAGAGAGCGGAATAAAAATATCAAATACTTTAATGGATTTTTTTAAACTCCTGTCAACTATACAGAACTATCATAAAAACATACCAGTAAATTCTTATTGGTTGGGTTAAGTTAGAAATCTACTCGTGATTCACATTATCGGGTGAGGACGGCCAAATACCTAGCAGGCAGGCGGCTAACAGCCCAGATCCGGTCCTGGATAGAACTGGATGCGGTATACATGTAGCATCTACCAGAGGTCCTAGGCTTCCACTGGCTAAACCGGGTGAGTTTGGTGCTCTGTAAAGCACATGCGCGAATCTGGCTTTTTGAGTGCTGACAATACAGTGCTTCCACTCTGCCACTAATATTCGAATATACAATAGCAATCTTATCTTTTTTTTTCACGTGTAGTATAGAAATTTGTAATAAGATACATAATGCGGTTATAATAAAATATTGTGCAATTATTTTCATATAATTAAAATTAATATGTATTTATTTTTTAGAAAATACAAGGGAAGTGGTGCATCCACCACTTTCAATGACGGCACGCCACTGGTGATATTACTGCTGATGTTTTGACTGATGTTACGTTTCAATAATTAGATTTTGTTAATGAAATTAGAAAAATTTTAAATGTTTGAAGTTAAAAACAAATTTTTCTTTTTTTAAGATGTTTAAAGTGTGGAAACTAACAACAGGAAAATTTTACCTATATACTAATTTGAGAGAGAGAGAGGAAAACAACTTGAATGACTGAAAATTCAAACTTTTCTGAAGTTATTTAACAAAAAATACACTCCAATATTAACTTCAAATTCATTAAGTTAATAAATATTCATTCTAAAGATATTCATTAAGATAAACTTTGTTAAAGTTGTGATATTAATTTTTAAAAACATCTTTAGTATTATATTAGTAATAATATTAACATTTAGTAATGCAAATATGGTCATAAAAAAATTTTTCTATTAGAAAATTAGAGTTTAAGATACATTTGGCAAGGAATGGAAATATAGCATCACAAGACATTGTAATCACACAAGTGAAAAGCTGATAGCAGATAGCAGATTGTTTCTTGGCACATATGAATGGCATTCAAGATGAAGAAGGATGAGAGACTTTTACTTTATGTGGTTTGTTTTATTTACCAAGATGTTGGCAAAAGAGTGTGTATGGAAAAACAAAATGTTTTCTTATATGAAAAATTAAAATTATAAATAAATTTGATATTAAAATATCTTTTAATATGCCTATATTCATTTGCATCACATAAGGACTTAAAACTATAAGCATAATTAAAATTGTGCAAAATTATTCCTTTTATATAATTATGTGTGTGTCAAGAAATCTTTCTGTAGCAAAAGTCATATTGGAACTTGCCAATTAAACTACTACACCTATGTGATATGTTGTACAAGTGATTTGTGTACTCACATGACATAAATGCAACTACTAAAGTGAACTATAATTGGTTGTAGAAAAGGTATCTCTTCTGTCCATGCCACAAAATTTGAATTCCACTCTACTTTTGAAGCATGATGAAAAGTGACATTTTGAGATTTGAAATTTGCTACAAAGGTGCATCCACCTTTATTTAATGCTAAGCAGTTTTAAATTTAAATATGCATTGATACAATAACAAATATCTTTATTCATTAACTAGACTATATGATAATAGCGTTTGCAATATTTGTAAGAATTAATTAATCACTAATATAACTGGTGTTCACAAAACTTCAAAAAATAATCATAAAATTCCACAATAAAATATTAAATCATATTATAATACATTTAAATAATAAATTTTATATTTATATCCCTAAAATGTACTTGATTTTAAACAAGCATTGCTGACATATTTTTAAAGCTATTTTCATACATAAATTTTGATATATTTTACTTTATATCCTAAAACCTTGGCTATAGTCCATCTACATGTATAAGCTATAGAAGCAAAACATGTACAAGAATTTTGACTTTCTAGTGAATAAGATGCTCTACTATGTAGGTTGCAGTTTATAGCCAAGGTTTTAGGGTATGACTCCAGAATAAAAACCAATAGGAAAGGAACAGCATAATTTTTGAAGCACTTTTGGTGATGCGATGAATTTTACAAATAAGTTTATATCCTCATTTAGGCCATGGCCTATAGACAAGGTTTTTGGATATGTTTTTCAAACTTTTTAATTAAGACTCACTTCTATAAGATATCAATAATAATATTAATATTAATCATTAATTAGCATGATATATACAGTAGATGATAGTGATCTAAACTGTAAATTATTATTGACCACAAGATCTAGCATAAACTATAATTTATGCTATATCCAGTCTCTAATTAGTCTGTATGTCCACTTACAATATTTCTATTTATTTTAACACTTAAAATGATTTATAAACTTTAGAAAATAGTAAGTTTAATAAATTTTTATTTTTAGAATATAATTACCCAGCAGTCTAACTTGTAAGTGCTATTTGTTTAAATTAGAACATATATTTCAAGATTTGCATATTGTTATGTTTGAAGTTCATCATTCAACTTATCTATACGTAAATCCTAACAATAACCAACCCAAAGTCTTGTTTCTCAGCTCAGGTTAAAGGATGATAATTTTTGATGTTTGTAGATAACATTAAAGTACTGTACTTACCTAATTCATGTGGCAATTCATGGCAAAAAACAGCAATTGTTGTACTAAGACCACCTGATGCTTCAGCGGCAAAAGCAGCACCTATATTATTTAAAAGAATAAATTTTCAAATATTTCTGTTAACCTTCACAAATATATTATTTTTTCAGAGAAAACAAACTGTAATTTTTCACTAATTTTAATCTACAAATAGTATTTGAACTACATGTTCTGTTAATTACAGTATTAATCAATACAAAATATTAGTTCTTTCCTACTAAACACAGTATAACTTAGATATTTTGAAGTTGAAGGCACTGCAAAAATATTCAAATTACCCAAAAATTTGAATTAGGCAAGTTTGAATATGTAAGTAGAATACAAAACTGTAACAATAAATTAACAAACAATTTATTACAAGTTTTCTAATGTTATATAATGTAATTTATCAATTACATTTTTTAAGAAGCTTGAAATTTTGGATTGGTTTTTTTTTTACTATATTTTGTTTGTTAAATGAATTCCTCAAGTTTATTGAGTGTATTGAGGAAAGATAGCCTACATTCACTTAGTTTGTTGAGGAACAGGAAAACATGTCTTAAAGTTAAAAAGAAAATTTCGAAGTAACTTGAAACTAAGAAATATGCTGAATACTGTACTCTGAATTTCTCAATCAACATTACTAACATTAATGCCACATTTTATCTCAATATTGCAAGTGATTTTTCATAAGCTTCTCACAATTTTACTTCAGATTAACCAAAAAAAAATTTTAATTAAAGATTTTTACATTAATTCAAGAATCTAGAAAAAATATTCAAATTAACCACAAATTTGAATTAAAAATGTCTGAATTATCCAAGTTCTATTGTAGTTGTCTAATTTGTAGTTATAATATTACATATATTAAAACATTTCAGTAGAAAACAAACTTTCTATTTGAAAATATTATTTTTGAATTAATAGTATTCAATTTTAAATTTCATTAAATTGCACTTTCATTATGCAGTTTAATATTTGTCCAATGCACAACACAAAATCATTCTGTTCAATATTTGATGTTTGTTCAATATGTTTTACAAGCATAAAGTTTAGTATTACTAGATTTAAATTTTAAATCATTCATCAGTTTCTGTTTATATTTTAATGTGTCAAAAAGTAACATTTGGAAAACACCAGATAAATTTATATAATATAAATTGTCTCTAAATAATTATTTAGTTTTTTTATGTCTTGGAAACTTATTATGAAGAATAAGCTCACTAATCAATACTTATCCATTTGATGTCGAATAAATACTAANCATCAATAATACATATGACACACAAATACTTTTTAAAAACAAAATAAAATTTAATATTTCTCATCTTAAAATCATTTTAAAGTACAGAGATTAAAATGTTTTTAAAAGCTTTTTTAACTATTACATCATATTCTATTTCTACATATGCTTGAAAATACTTTGTTTTCAGTTACTGTTTGCAGATGATGGTACAGGTAACCCCGTATAACACGGCACTTCTATAGCACGGATTCACTCTAACACGGTTCGAGAATTGGTACCATCCCCTGTATAACACGGCACTTCTATAGCACGGATTCACTCTAACACGGTTCGAGAATTAGGAACATCCCCTGTATAGCACGGTGCTTTTATAGCACGGGTTCAATCTAACACGGTTCAGGAATTGGGTAAAACCCTTGTCAACATAAAATGTAATAAAGGGTGCATTCTTTTATACCTCCGCGTAACTCTGCGCGAGCATTCTAATTGTTTTCATGGCTACTTTGAATGCTCTTTCAACAAATAATCCATTTAATGGTTAAATTTTACAATTGGGCCCCTTCTTTTGCCTCTAAAAGCTCATTTTAGAATTATAGATTCCTCCATACAATACTATCAATAGTGTGGACGCCGCCATCTTTCTTTCATTGTTATTCCTAAATGCTTACAAACAGCAGCGCACTCCTGTTGTAGAGCAACCGCTATTAACGAATGCATCCAAAAACTTACCAGCTGATGATGCTCATGCTGAGATCATTATATAAAATGAATAATCCTCTGATAAAATATTTACTTAAATAATAAATATTTTACGTATGGAAAAAATGAATAATAAATTTGATTTAAATAAGGATTTAACAGCATGGTTTTTTAATTTTTGGAACCTAACCCCCCTTTCTGCACTAGTTCTTTGTTTCGTATAACATGGATTCGCATAACACAGCAATTTTTTGGAATGTAACTCCCGTGTTATACGGGGGTTACCTGTACTGTACTTGCAAATTCTTATTTTATATAAGTGGTAAATATTGTCCTATACAAGAAAAGTTTCTTGAATCAGTTATGTATCTATCTTTTAATAAGCTACACAATTATTTATGTTGCTGTTATCTGTTTTAAATATTTCATACTACCCATCACATTATATAATTTGATCCAAATATTTCAAGCATAATATTTCAAGTAGATAATAGTTCAAAATCATTAACACAAGTTTAAAAATACACTGATTTAAAAAAAGTTTAATAAAGTTGGAAACATTAAATGGAAAACTTGACTGTTTTCAGTTTTAGAATTTACTTAAATTAAGAAATTTAGTAATTTTTGACAGGATCTTTGAAGGTTATTAATTTAAAGATCTAAATCAACTCTTTCAGTTCTTTTACTAAAAACATTAGTCTTCCTACCATTCCAAATGTCATCTGAAATTTCTCAATAATGAGTTTTTGTGTGTATTTTAGATTAATATCATTTTATTCTATAAAAATAATTGGAAATTTTTCTCCAGATAAATTCTGAAAGTGTCAAAGTTTGCTTGAAAACTGAATGTTTAACCTTTGTATTTATATATATATTCATATTGTACAAAAAGTTTTACTGATAACACAACTGAAAAAAAGTATATCTTAAATTAGATTATAAACGTCTGAAATGTTTATCTGATAAAACTGATAAGATAATTCTGGAAAGAATTGCAAAACAAAAATTGACAATGTAGTTTTTAATAATAAAATTCAACATACATGAATAAGAAAAATTCTGCGAGAACTTTTAACTCTTTCAAGAAAAATTTGTCTGCAACATGGTGATTGTCTATTTTATCTATGCTCAAAAGAACATAATTTTATTTATTTATGATCAATTTATGCATAAATATAATAATTTACCAATTTGAGAATAAGATTATTCAAACTTATCTCTACATCTACTTTGTTATTATGTTTCATTTACTTTGTTTCATTTATTGTTCTTATTTTAAATTACAGAAATAATATGAGTGTGTTATTTATTTTTTATTTGTGTCTTATGTTTCCAATTTAATTTAATATAAACCTGAATCCTTGCATTTTACTTCCTATTAAATTAAATATTTATATATGAAATTAAATAGATAAATATGACTTTTTCAGTTGCATGATTCAGATAACAATTTATGAACAATAAACTACTGCTTCTGCCCTTTCAAATACTTCTTTGTAAATGTATAAATTAATGTTATCATGCTTTAATTATCATTTCTAATGATTCCCATAAAATATTCATAATTCTATTCTATTATCTACAAAATTTACATAAAAACAGTTAATTAAAAACAATTAAAATTAATAAACAAACTTCATTTACTTTTTCCTTCTTTACGAAATTATTATTCTCAATACACTTACATATCAAATCTGAATGTTTTTATTTGAAAATTAAAATATCTAAAAATTGTATAAAAAGAAATAAATAAAATAGGATATTTTTAAAAAATAAAATATTAAAATTATTTGCAAATTTGACAAATATAGGAAAAATCTTGAAAACTATAGCACAATGTTTTTCACTGTTTTAATATTAATATTACTGGAGGCTATCAATATCTTGGTACATAATAAGATAAAAATTAAAACTAAAAGCAAAGAAAATTAATTTAAAAAAATGATGATGAATGTAAAATAACAATTTAAATACTGTATATATATATAAAATGTAAAAAATGTTTATGTAGGTGAAAAAAATTGATTGAAATATAATGTGTATATGCATGTATATGTCAGTGATAAAATGTTATTTTTGAGTAACAAACAGATAGCATTATCTACACACTCATTACTTAGAACTTATTATTGATTAAATGCCTAATTAAGCTTAATAAATCAATATTCATTAGTCAAGTCAAAATTAATTAAATATTGTATTTGATATTTATTACTCAATTACTGCCTACTCAGTAGAAAGAATTTTAGCAACATTTCTTATTAGATATTAAATTATTTATTAAAAACACAATAAATTTTACAATTTTCTAATATAGCCTGATATAATTTGGCAATCATTTGGCTTTAATGTATAATTATCAGATTTAAATGTTTATATTTTACAACTTTATAACAGATACAGTAATTTTTTATATTGAATAGTTTAAGCCATAGTGGTGTTCTTTATAATTATACTTTTTTTCAATTTATCTTGCTTATAAATCTCTAACTAAATTACAGATTTTTACTTTGCTTTTAAATGCATTCATAAAATTTTTATAATTTTATGAATGCATTAATACTGGATATTATATTTAGTATTTGATAATAGAATAAAATTAAAATTAACAACTGTTTAAAATATATATATATATATATATATATAGCAGGCAAACTCAAAAAAGTATTTTAATAATTTAATTTTTTTTAAAACATAAAACATCAAAATACTGTATATTTTCTAAAATTAATAAAATTTGTAACTGATAAATGAAATTGAAACATTTATATTAATATAAACTTGTATTTATACTTTAATTAATTAAACACCTGCCATCATTTTATAATTGATCATCAAATAATCTGTTCCATTGAATCTATCTTTTCGTAAGAAAATCTCTAAGTTTCATGTTATCCCTATAACTTTCAATCAAATTTTTCTATATCACGTCTTAATCCTATATTTACTAAAGAACCACATAAATTACCATTAGTTTGAAATAATTCATAATTATACAAAAATTTTAGTTTCTTAACTGACTTTAAAAAACTTAAAATAATAAGCTAAATCTTTCAGATTTTCCTATTTACAATTTATCCAAAATACTTCTATATTTCTAAGCAATTTCCTAGGACAGAAATTTAGATTAATGCTTCAAACCAATTACTATCAACTGTTTGTATATAATACAGTAGAATACACCTTACACAGAAATAAATCAAGCATTAAAATATTTTAAATATAATTTTACTTTTAGGAAAATTTTTGTTATGACAGTGAAGGGTTTGGGAGATCTAAGTTTGAGTCTTGATTGGTTCAGAAATTTTCATAAGTGATAGGTGATCCAATTTTGATGTTACTCAATCATTCATTTGCCTCCATTTTGAGTCTGTCTGAACTCATAATAAACATTAAAAAAAAATATCCTTAGTGCCCACAGGGCATAAAAAGTTAAAAATTAAAAATTTGTATTTTGTTTTTATGACTTTAGATGATTCAGCATTTCAAAGAAATATAATTGAATAAAACTGCTACAGAATATATGCAGTGATACACAATAAAATTTATGTTACTATTGCATCATTATGCTGAGATTGCAAGAATAACTAGTAATGAGTATTTTATTATCTATCACAGTGACTGGTGAGGGGTGTTTGGCAAGTACAAAAATAATAATTACTATTCACATCACTATTACAGTAGAGTGTCGATTTTCCGAAAGTCAATCATCCGAAAGAATTCCAGTCAGCAAATTTAAATTTTCGCCAGTGCTGTGGCACTTCAATCTTTGGCTATGTCTTGGGTTACTCAAATATTTTACGTTTTTGATACTAAATTAACATCTGAAGTATAATTTTTTATTATTTTTATATTTTTCAATATATTTATTTTGTTTGTACAAAATAAATAAATAATTTTTAACGATACAATAGTCTT